AGAGAGAGAGAGAGAGAATTATAAAATTTGGCAGTCTGAGAAGAACGTATGAATTATTAATTCGTTTTTTAATTCGTTTTTCTTTATATTCATTATTAATGCTACAAAAATCATATATATATATTGTATGATAAAAACAGTGAAAATATGAAAAAAAATATCAAAAATTAATATTCAAATGTCCTTGAATCTACTTTATCTACATTATCCGTTGGACGGATTTCATTGTAATTTGCTTTACAAGCAATTTTATAAAATTTAAAATATTATTCAACTGTATTATTACTCAACTGTATTAAGTATCGCGTAATTAGAACGAATATGAAATATCCATTTATCAAAATCATTCTTTTCAAATTGTATAAAATTTTTTTGCAATAAACGTTGGAAACTTCATAACGGCAGTATTGAATTATATTAAGTTTCCTAATAATATCACTTAATCACTAAACATATGCTTATTGATAAAAAATTATAATATTGACAGAGTAACATGAAGATTAATTTCAAGCAAAATAAAAAAACTATCTTTTATCAAAATTGTCTTCATGCACTCAATATTTTTCAGTATACAATTTTTTTAATCATGAATTAATATTACTTATATGCTTTAATACGGTACAATAATAGTATAAAAATTCCAAAAATTTCATTAAAAAAATTTATAAAATGTGAAACTACAGTATCACTGTAAATTATAGCACTTGTTGCATATATTTATACTAATCATTCACAAAAAGAGAACATAAAAAAACAATACTGAGATTCATCTGCACAAATAGAACATAAAAGACATGCAAAGTATATTATGTAATTGTAGGAATTGTTTTTTTTTTTTTTTTTTTGCGAATTCATCATTCGTTCATTTTTATTAACAAAACTTTAAGTATCCAAACATAAACTTTATATATTATTGGCAAATAGTACACACAATAATTATATAATATTGTAAAAATAATTATTTCAATCACCGGAAATGATATGTTATAAAATAAAAAATTACATTGTACGAAAGTCAAAAAAGAATCTTTGCATATCTTATATTTAAATTTCTATGGCAGCTTATATTAATAGAAAAGAAATGATGATACTTTAAATCCAGGGGACTGACCTGGAAGCCACTGATGGAGTATCGCGTGTTACAGAAGGATCCGGACTGTGCGCTTGAAACATAGTAGATGGTGTTGCAGGATAACTACTACCAGGGCCACTTTGACCACTACTTCCTACTCCAACTACAGAAGAATGCGACGGTGTTTGTCCACCGACACCGGGTCCACCCCATCCAGGTACGTGTGTTACCAAAAATGGTTTTACATATCCATTCGTTGATGTTGATTGATTTTCTAAGAAAACATATTTAATATAATCTCAATTCAAAATATCATATGAATGAACAAAAGAAAATACTGGAAATAAAATTACCTGTAAACGGAGTATAATATTTAGAAAATGCTTGATCCTTTGATATATCAGGGTAAAGATAAAGTAAATGTTGTAAATCAAATACACGATCAGCTAAACTCCGAATGGCGAAATCTTTACTTGTGAACGGTTGTAACATAAAAACTTCTGTTTGATCTATAAATTGTTTAATAAAACAAAAATAATTAAATTAAATACAAAAAAATTATAATAATGAAATAATAAAATATATAAGCCATTTACCTCCAACCCAAGCAATAGTAACACCGCCAAGTTCAGAATCTGAAAAACGCATTAGGAAAGTTCCTGATGCACAATTTGCCAACATTTCTTCTGCTTGCCTTTTTCTTACAAATCCTAATATATAACCATCGACCCATGGATTTTTTAAATGTTCTCTAGTTAATTTCATCACAGCATAAAACCATTCCCAGAATGTAAAATTTCTTTCTGGTAATGGCTCTTTGCAAAACTGTGCCCAACTCAAAAGTAAACTAGAATAATCTTGTCCACTTGCATTTCCACCGCGAAATGCTTTTTCTGCGAGAAATCGTAAATTATCTTCTGTTAATGCACGACCTGTCGCAGATTTAAATTTAACATTTAATGCTTCAGCTACTTGACCCCATGGAACTTTATCAGGTACTGCAAATGGCACTCTTCCAGGTTCAGCAAATGCATTATCCCATGTAACTGTAGCCCACGCGTGTGGTTCTTGATTTCCATGAACAATAACTACTACAGGTAAACTTAATGTCCAGACTGCAAATACCAATTCACCTCCTCCAACGCTAAATTGTGATTGAAAGAGAAGCGAAAATTTTTCATCCATCACAGATTCTGTCCCTTTTTTTTCTGCTCTTTTGATTTTTTTTAGCTGCATATTACGAAAGCTTACAGAAAGTTGTCTTGTTGCCTAGAAAATAAAATTTTTTTTTAATAATATTTTCAATAGAAATAATAATTTTAATTTTTCTTTTTTCTTACTTGATGATATTCCATTGTGCCTGTATTATTTAAAATTTCTCCACTGGCTTCGCCATTTTTTGCCATTTTATCACTTTTTAATAAAGCATTTGCTTGAGCTTCACTAATAATGCTCACTTTGACTTGTGGAGGAGTCATATGAACATTCAATTTTCCACCAACAAGTAAACGTACTGTACTTGTAAAGCGAGTATTGGTTTTCATTACTTGTGGTGGTTGTTTTTCTATGATAAATGTACTCGTAACTAACGAACTAAGAAGCTGTGTAATTTGAGAATTTAAAGTAGGAAGAATATCTTGCATTCCTGGTGGTTCAAGTGCAAATTTTTGTTTTAAACGTTCTGCTTCTTTAATTTGTTGTCGATTTAGCCAAATTAATTCAGCTAAACTTTCACACCACTCTTGTATAGAATCCAAATTATTGTTAAATGGTGCACCATTTCCTCCTAATTGTTGATCTCTTTTCCATCTGAAAAATATAAAATAAATATTTTATCTTTAGAAGTCATGCAATCAATTATTTAAAAAAAAAAAAGCGAATAATTTTTACCGAATAAGTTCATCATCTAAAACTCTAGATTGCAAGCTATTTAATCTAGTGATGGTGTCTTTCAATTTGTCAGCTAATGTTAATCGTAATTGCATTAAGCCTGCTACTTTGTGGTTCAATAATTGTTCTTGTTGTTCCTTTTGCCTATAAGAATATTTTCAGTATTCAAAAAAATTTATTGAATCAGAATTGTTAAGAATGTTTAAATTACCTTCTAATTTTTTTCTCCATATCTAGATTTTGTTGATTTTGTGGCTGAGTTGCAAAATGTTGAAGGTGAGCATTTAATTTAGTACATTCATGATAACTAATAGCAAATGCTTCTTGTTCTTGCTCCATTTTTCGTAAGTCTTCTCCAGTTTCTTGAGTTCTACGTCGCAAAGATTCAACATGCTGAGCTATTTCAGCAACAGCATCACTAATCAATCCTACTTTTCCTCCTGCCATATTCATTAAAGTACCTCCAACATTTTCAACTTGTGCTACTAATTTCATTTCTGTTCCTAGACAATGTCTAATTATTCTAAATAAAGCCGCTGGATTATGAGTATACCTTTGCTACATTAAATAAAGAAAGAATAATATAAATATATTATATATTTTAAATAAATTACTAATTTTATTTACAACTTACACGAAAATTTTTGGCAGCTTCCATTAATTTTAATTTTGTTAAAAACATATCATCTGTATTTAATGAAGCTGCTTTAGTTTCTAATTCTTGTATTAAAGATCTAACAAGAGTAGCTATATATTGTTCATATTGTGGATTATCCGGTTCTATATCAGTCCTATAACAAAATATTTTTAATAATTATAACTCAAATTTATAATAACTCAAAAAGTTAATATATATCAAGATATATATTTACCACATTTTTTCTTCTATCCAAGAAGATAAAAAATGACGGACTTCTATTGGAAAATGTTCTCCATAAACTGAACGTACTTGTTGTAATGCATCCTGTGGTAATTGTTGTGCTTTTGCCCACAATGACATTTTGATTTTAATTATAAATCCTTTATCTTAAACATAATCATATTTTTCAATAATTGATATTTATATTTTCATTAATATATATAATATGAAAATATTCAAATTCAAAAATAATATAACCACAATTTTTTTACTATTAAATTCTACTTTCTTATATTTGTATATTTATATTTAATAATAAAAATATATTTATTAAAAATTTCTAATATTTCTTGTAAAACATATGAATTAATATCGTTGATCTAAGATATATAATATCATTAGATGATATTTATTTATTTAGATAATAAATATCTAAAATATTATCATTAGATATCATTATTATGTTTACTTTAAAAATAGGTATGTATATACTTAAGAAACTTAAATAAGAGAAATTATAAACAGATATTTAATATTATATTGAAACAATATTATATTTAATATAATAAATACAATACAAATATAATGATACAATTTAAATAAATAAATAATATGAAATAAAATAATGAAATGAAATAAAATGATTTTATCGATTACTTGAATCTTAATTAAATTCAATAAAAGAGGAATACATCATAAAAATTTAGAAATGAATGTGACGTATTGCAATAACGCGTAAATAGATAAGCGGAGGGGTAAGGAAAAGTTGTTCACTTTAAGAATTCGTTGTACTCACCTGCTCACTAGTCCGAAGACAGAAGCAACTAGGATTTGTATATTTCTGTTATTTATTTTTTCTTATTTGAATCAATTTATTGAGAATCTAACCTTTGGACTGATCAAACTCGGTCTACCGCGCAATAATTGTAAACGTAATGATTGCGGGACCGGTCGCACGCGCAAATCGCGTCAATAATTCTCCCTCTTTCGTGTTACTCACATCAGCGCGGACGACGACAGAGTGCCGCGAACAAGAAATTCCGAGAATTTCTTACCGTAAATGGCGTGTATGTCATGTGATCAAGACAGCACGCATGCGCAAAAGCATAAATTTTTCAGGGACGTAACAAGTAAAAAAGTATTATGATTCCAATAATTTTTATTATGAATATTTATTTATTTTAGTTACATTTTTTTAAATTTATACAAATCATTAAACTTACAACTATATCATTAACTAATTTAAAGGTAACTTTGAATACAGAGGGAAAGAATGCATAATGAAAGATAATTTGAATATCAAAATATATAATTATATAATAATACTTTTTATGTATAGTGCATAATTGCACAAAAAATTCTTTTTTTATAAGATATTTATATAATACAATTTATAAAATATATAAAAATACTGTAAAAATATAAATATATAATACTTAAAGAAATATGTTTATATTAAAATGATTTCATCATCTGAAGAATTACAGGTGGAAATACAAGAAATATAGCACCTATAAGATATGTTGC